AATAAGGATAAAGTTCTGTGGTCCTCTGATATTCGGGCAGATGTTTAACTATAATAAGAGAAAGAGAGCGGGCTTCATTCTTATTTGGTTCACACAGCTTGCAGTGGTGAAGGCGCCAAAGGAATATTAATAAAATATTTCCGTAACAAAAGTTACGTCCTTTAACAATTTGTCACAAAAAGGCTAGACAAAAACCTTGCCTAGTATAAAATCGAAAAAGCATGAGATAACACCTGAAGCTTCTCTAACTTGGTAAAAACTCATTATTATAATGATTTTTTTCCTTTTTTAAGTATTATTATTATTATTATTATTATTATTATTATTGTTGTTTTCGAGTAAAAGAAAACCATTTCGATCGAAATCAAGGTATCAGGGTTTAAGCGCCGCTTCAGACCTGAGGAACGTCATATTTATAAAAGCGCCGCGTTGTTGCAACGGTAACGGTGAGGTGAAAACGTTTTTATTTTATTAAGAGGGTGTTCTCTCTAAAATAACTTCACCTGATATTCTGGTAGATGTTTCTTAGAAGCCCGCAGCGCTTGATCCACATCCACTGTTTGCATCACAGATAAACTTGTCTCATTCGAAAAAAACTACAGCGATTGATTGGCTCAGACCAATTTCATTAAGTTTTCATTTTAGTTGATAAAGAGAAAGGGAAAGTTCTGTCTTCGGGCTAAAATGAACTTCCTGTGATGTTCTGGCAGCTGTCTTATTGAGTTTATATCTCCTTGTTGAAGACGCCAAAGCAAAGTGTTTCAGATGATAGAGCCTCAACGAATTAAATATTGAGGATTTTCATTGAAAATAGATAAATAAAATAAATAGAATTGGGTGAAGTCCTTCTTATTTACACGCTAACCTATCTGCATAAAAGTGTTAGTACAGTATGACCACTGCGTCCCAATCCAGTTTATATACCGAAAGTGAAAGAAACTAATCCTTTGAGAGCTAGTGCCGTATTTTTCATGTAAAATTTCTCTCTCAGGCCCAGTCCACAATACGCCGGAGAAATTTGAAAGCGGATCGAATGTTATCCTCTTACACGGCTACGCCGGGGCAATTTGAAAACTGAACAATTGCGGATTATTTTGCATTTATGTTTGAGTAAAACTCGGTCAGGGGAATATTATGACTACCGTAACGTTTTCGAAAACCTTCGTTTTCAAATTGTTTTCCTCTCCGCACTAGAAGCAAAGCCGGCGTTTTCAAAATACTCCGTTTTCGAAAAGCTCCATTTTCGAGACGGATCAGTGCTGAAGGAAGGCCTAGACGGAGAAATAAAGATCCGTTTTTAAACTCCTCCTGCGTGGTATAGTGTGGACGAGGCCTGATAAAGGGCTGCAAAAATTAAGACTCGTCAAGTTGCAGATAACATAGAAACTCAAGACAAGCATCATAATTTCAGAGCTAAGCATGCATGCATGGTGGTTTAGTAAAGATAAGCAATTGTAGTACATAATAGTTAAACTCACCATAATGCTGTAGTGATGGAAAGTATGATTCGCTTTGAACTTCTCGGATGCATTGTACTTGTCAGTTGGAAGTAAATCACACGAGACATTTCCAGTTGGTTGATTAAATTCCCCTATGTTTGTGGAAAATCAGCGATCGTTTTTTACGCATCGCAGCAGGCAATGTCTTCCCGTTTGAACAGCGACTCCTTCAATCTTTGGCACGTCAAGAACATGATAAAAATGTTCTATGAATTGTACGTACCTCAGTTGTTTGTTCGGGTCGCGCTGAAGACCAGGCAATTGAGTGGCATCACAGAGGCCATCATC